TTGTGATATTGTGCCAAGGAAAGTTTAAAAAAAAAGAAAACTGGGGGCAGTTTAGATGAAATTTTTAACAATTTCATATTTTAAATAGATCTGTCACTTTTGCAGGGTACAACTTCTACTCCAAACAGTTGTACCTTTTTGCATACAAACTATTTTAGCCTACCAATGTTGGAGGGCAAATTTGAAATTAAATTCATCCCTGAGTTTGATGGTTCGGCATCTGGACCATCCATACTTGAATGGGTAAAATGAGAAGTGATCAACTTTTTCAAAGTGGATCTATAGATGTATATATAAACAGATGGAAAATCAACCAAGATCAGTTGATAAATTAATTTTGTCCATTCTCTGATACTGCAGTCATTATCACTTACCCAAAGATGTTTTATGAGATTTGCACAAATAACTGGCAACCTTAGACTGCTAAACCATCCTTACTACATTGAAAACCAACATATTTTCCTTCACCATGTGGTCAAACAGTAGCTACTATTTTTGGATGGAGATATATATATATATACTTCCACTCTCTCTTGAACTCTTGAAACTTCAATGTTCACCTTATTCTTCTTTATTATTATATCGTGTTATGTAAAGATTTATTTTATATATATCAACAATCGGTGCATTTTCTTTTAATCATTACAAAAGGCTAACAAAGCAAACATAGCAATATATGGTGGGATAAAATAAACCATTCTTCCATAACAGATAACCTCCTAATTTCTATAAGATGCATTGAGCAGGTTAGAATGATCACTTGATCTTTGAAACTTGGAATATGAAACAGAATAAATGTTTAGACTTGGAATTCCAGAGAGTAAAAACATTTACATTTGGAATTTCAAAGCGAACAAAATGTTTATACTTGGAATATGAGAGAATGAAAGTTTAAAGTTGGAATACAAAAATTAATGAAGATTTAAACTTGGAATATGAAAGGAGAATAAAAGTATAGAATTTGAAAGAGAATGAAGGTTTAAACTTGGAATATGAAAGGAGAATAAAAGTATAGAATTTGAAAGAGAATGAAGGTTTAAAATTGGAATATGAAAGGAGAATAAAAGTATAGAATTTGAAAGAGAATGAAGGTTTAAACTTGGAATATGAAAGGAGAATAAAAGTATAGAATTTGAAAGAGAATGAAGGTTTAAACTTGGAATACAAAAGAGAAACAAGGTTAGAGTTTGAATTTTGAAAGAATGATTCAAATCTCTCTTAATCTTTACTATTTTTGCTCTTTCAGGCACGAGACCTTGGTATAGCATTCTTCCTTGTGTGCATTACATATCTTATCATTGGAATAGGGCTGTACATTACTTTTCCAGATGATAAATCGTGCATCAAAGATGTAAGTTGAAAAAATATTTTGTGTGTGTGTGTGTGTATATATATATATCAGAATCTGACAGAATGATAAGATAATAGACACATAGGAAATGTTTATCAATCTAACATGTTTCAATTTTATTAGATTTTATTCTCTGATGCAGCTTTAATAAAAGTGAAACATGTCAGATTGATAAACATTTCCTATTTGTTCTTTATTATATATATATATATATATAGTGTCAATATGGAAATACTATAATAGAAAAATTATGAATTCTGCATTTTGATAGTCTGAAATGTAAAGGGGCTGGCAAACCAGAGAGATGTGATGTTTTGACAAAAAACAAAAAAAGTCTATACATGATATAAAGAACATACTCACTTGTCCATTGTGAATGGTGAATGTAACTGCCATGCAATACACAAACTCACTCAATGCTATCTCTCTGCCGACTGTGTAACCACATGGGAGAGTGTCAGTTTATGCATGCACTATAAGGCCACCTCCAATTTTTTGCCAATTTATATTAAGTTCATATATACAGTTCTCAAGATGACCTAATATTTTCAGGACAAGCACCAGATACAGAATCAGGATTTTTTTTTCTATCACCAGACTATTATGTTTCAGTTTATACGTAATGATTAATATATGGAAGTTTTGATGTATCTGTGTAAGAAATCCTACCTGTGATATCATGGTGTTCCATTAGCTGCTTATTATTTGATAATGATTGAAAGTTCAACACAAATATCATGGACAGTCTAGTTCCCAAAAAATAATATCTAAATTAACTCCATTGTTTTACAACAGAAATTGTACCACAATTGGTCACCCTGGATTAGTTAGGACATCACATGTTCAAGTGAACTGTAAATGACTTCATCTGGGCCTGGAGTGACTAGTACTTTTATGACAACCATGTTGCCAGTAAAATCGAGATGTGAGAGTTTAAAAGCTCCTTCCCACTGTCCATACATAGGCAAAAAATAAAATGTGTAAACAGATGCATAAAACTTTCAGGATCAAGTGACACATGGTTGGAAATTAGGAAATTCCCGTCATTTGGTTTATGTAGTTGGACCACATTCTAGATAGAGCAGTTATGGTTAGAGTAAGAGGAGATGTAAAGTTGGATGGCATTCTCACTGATCAAAGGGAAGAGCTGGTTTGTTAGTTTGTCATGAGAAAAAGCAGTGAAAATATGTCAAGTGTTACTTACCTACCTCCAGATTATGCCAGGTGAACTGATTCATGAATTTATCAAAACCAACAGACTTCTTGCCAAGGTGATATCCTAAGTGGGTCATATTTAAGATGTTTCTCCCCCTGTGTTTTTGCTGACCCTACACCAGGCCTTTCCCAATTTTGATCACACTGATGCAAGTAGGAATTGACCCACAGTGTGGGGCAAAAGCTGACCAAGTAAATGGAAAACTACCTGAGGAACCCAGTTCATAACATTACTAGTGGAAACTATAATGTCACTTATTAGTATTCAAAACACAGTGCCACTTTGGGATATGACGATAAACTACATCTTGCAACAGGAGATTGGAGATTTTGAGGATCCTGGAACCACTTTTTAATTACTGTTGTTCCCAGGTCTTTCTTAATCCAGGGTGGTAGCACCTGTTAGGGTCCCAGCTATGGGCAAATCATGAACACTCAAATAAAAAGAAAATACTATGAAAATTATATTTTTATAATAAAAATACCCGCAGTACATTTTTATATAAAAAGAATTACCACAATCGGTACCTTTTTATACTAGAATGAAATGAATCAATGCCTATTTATAGCAAAATGATGAACAATGCATTTCATCTGTGGCTGAAGGTATACAATTGCATTCAAAATATTTAGATTTTGGCATTAAATAACCCATAAAGGTGTTGATATGCCACTAAACAAAATCAACTAACCGAACCAATGTTTTCTTTCTTATTTAATTTGTTCACTGACATGAGGTGAAGATAATTCTGGCACCCTACCCCCCTGCGAGATGGAGACCTCCATTGGGAGTAAATCATTTTGACTTCTTTCTTCTTCTGTATCTTTACAAAAGAACTTTCTTCTGCTGAAAAAAGAACTAATTTCTGTTAAAAGAGACAAACTATAAAACTTTCTACAAAACTATAAAAGACACATAGACACATGACTATAAAAAGAACTTTATAAAAGAACTTTCTACCTGTACATTCACAACTTTCTACAAGAGACACATGCTCTTAAAAGAACTTTACATTTCATAACAACATTTGAATGCAAAGCAAAAAGAGCAACTAAATAAAAGAACTTTGTATTAGTCCTGTACATTCACAACACACAACTCTTGCTTTACATTTCATAACAACATTTGAGTGCAGCAAAGAGTAAATTTGAATTTTGTTATAACTTTTTTTTTGTGCTACTGTGCAAACATTTACGTTTTCTTATTGAAATGTTTTCAAATATCTACTTTTGAAATAATCTATGCATTACTGCAAAAAATTAATTTTATTTTTTCTCTTCTGCTATCTTTCTTGTTAAAAGACATTGTTACTGTAAGACATCAACTAAGTTTAAATGAATTTTATCTTTGAGTTTATCCATTTCTCATATTGTCTTTTTTTAAATGTCTTTTAGTCACAACCACTATAGCATATATTCCTACATTATAAAGTCTAGCTAATCCTTGCTGCAGATACCTGCTCAGGTACATTTGTGTTTCCTCAACACTCACAGAGCTAACCTGTGGTTTAAACTGTGATTAAGCTGAATAGATTTTAATTACCATTTCTGGCATGAATAAGGCCAGAATGCTGAAACCTTCTCGGTCACAATGACTTATGACAGCACAACCATAAACAGCTTCTAAATAGTTTTGTCTGCCCAGTTTCATTCAAGGCTTGGGTCAACTCATTGTATTATTTTCAGGCACTTTCCAAAGGAAACACAAGCTGAAATCCCCCTCCCCAACCAAATAAAATCAAAAAGTGACCTGTGAGATTCAAATTTTTCTTGCCAGAATCTATCTTACACATTTATAAGTTGACCATTCATCCATGCATTGAATATTGCTGCCACATCTGGTCTGTTTTTTCTGATATGTATTTAGAGATTCTTGATAAAATCCAAAGTATCTGCAATGTTATTAGTTCTGACCTGGCATCTCAATTTCAGTTATTTTCCCAACACCATAACATGCCTTCCCTGTACATTTTCTATAAATATTTTCATGGTAATTTTTCTGATGAGCTTTACTTTTTGGTACCTTAATTTTTGTTTTATAAATTCAAGCACAGTACTAGATTGGCAGTTAGGTTTCATCATTTTACAGTTGAAATGGCTAGATGTAACTGTAAGTCCTATACTAACTTTTTCTTCTATCAAACTTCTCTTCTTGCTTGTGGAGTTCTCTTCTGGCCTCTTGCTTTCCCATCAACTTTGATCTTCAAACATTTAAATGCAATGTCAATCGTTATTTTCTGTCTTTTTAATTCTTGTTCTTTTATTGTTCTTTCTCTTTATTATGTTTTCTTTTTCTCATATTCTCTCACATTTTGTTTGTGTCTTATTGTGTTTTATTGCCTTGCTTGGAGTGAAATGATTTTAAAAATAATGCTAAGAAGTAAAATGATTTTTTTTTTTTTTTTTTTTTTTTCCCTTCCACAGAATATTCTAGATAATCTACCTCTCAACGATATATGGGCTGTGATTGCACGATTATTCATCTTTCTTCAGCTTGGAGCTATTTTTCCTCTTCTCATCTACGTATTCAGGATACAACTTCTTCATGTCACATTTAAAGTCATCTGGCCAGGGTAAGATTTTCTTTGATTTTTTTTTCCACTCTTCTCATTATATAAAATCTAGTAAATATCTACAGATTACTCTCAGAAGACCTCATATTGCCTGCCAACCATGTGTTACCCTCTGGTCGGCAGTTTTTATTATGACACTGGCTACAAGTTATCACGTCCTTGGCATTTTTTGATTCATTTTCATCTGCCAACACCAACAAGTTTATTTGCAGTATATCGTGAAAAAATAAAACTAATGAACTGTTTCGATCTGGAAAAGTTGATTAGCAAACCTTCATAGGTCAGGACATTTTGATAGTTTCCCTACATAAGACCTAATGTTGCCTTTGACACTTGTAAATTAAGTTTGGGGATATCCTCAGGATTTTGTAGAATCGCTTAAAACTTGAAGGTTGCTCACCTTTTTCAAAACTAATTTATTAGCTTTATGGTTTAAAGGGACTGTCTCTTCCTGAAGGGATTTATCATATGTTCAATAGTAATATCAAAATTAATGCATTACAGAATAGTTTCCTTAAAAATTTTAGCTCTTTTGGCTTAATCTACCTTCCTGGCTAATGGTAATCTTAGGGCTGGTGAATTTTAAATTTTAGGCAACACCCAATCTAAAATATTGATGGTTGCAGGCCTTTTTCCAAAACTAATTTACCAGCTTGCTTCAGGCCAGAGGAACTTTCTTTTCATGAAAAGATATATTCGATAGAAATTAACGCATTACAGAATAAAGTTTTAAAATTAAAATAAGTAAATAAGCAATGTTAATATAAAATTGTTTCCAGTCGTCAACCTAAGTCAGTTGAATCATTTTCACTTAAATGTCTGGTAATCTTTCCAGTGGATTTCCCCCACAAGGAGCTTCTATAATATTTTTAATGGATGCGTAAGTCAATGTTGTCTAATTTATTGACAGACTAGAAAAATTCAACAAGTTGTCAAATCCACCTTCTCTACTAAGATGTTATTTGAATATGCACACCAATTAAGTCAGAATTCATTTCATAGTAGATTACAAGAATTTGATAGATGATGTATATGAATCTAAAAGACAGAAGGCTAAGGACTGATGTTGCCAGAGGCCAATATACTGAAGATAAATGTCAGTGGAGACTATGCTGATGACAGGTATTCAGACTTAGGATAAGAACGATCTTGAACCAAAAAAAAAATCGACATTCTTTACCAAGTGTTCCAAGAAGTAGGACTTCTTAAGATAATCCTTTCCAAAACAGAAAATATGAATTGGAATTTGAATGAGCAATAAATAAGATATGAGTAGTGGAACAAGAAGCTCCTATCCACGTAGATTAAATAAAGCGTTCAGTTCGGAAATCCTTGTAGGTTACCCATATTAATATGTATCCTCATGCCAGAAACTCAAACAGAATTATCTTGAACAAAAAAATAATACCTTCTTTACCAAATATTCTGAGAAGCAGAACAAGATAAACCTTTCCAAAATAGAAAGTTTGATCTGCAATTGGAATGTTAGTAATGATGAGTAAGCACAGTGGAGTAATGGATAGTGGCTCGGATTGAGAAATTGGAGAGCCGAGTTCAAATTCCAGTCGAATCCATTACATTCACTTATGTGCTAATAACCTTGGGAAAGGTATGAATCATCTTCTTCTCCCCTTAGCTATGGGTAAATAGCAGGACAGCCCGGGTTCTATAGCCTTGGATGGCAACTGGTCTACCGTAGAAAGAGATGGCAACCTACTGCGGAAAAACATGTATTGAAAGATACAAGATACATGATCGCCTAAGCATGTATCATGCATCACACATGACTGACTGACTGAGTAATGATAGCACCTATTCTGAATTCAGAATACAGAATTAATAAATTCAATAAAATTCAAATACCTTGGTGTATGGGTCAATTATGACAAATTTAGTAGAGGAGATAAGAAAGTTGAACACAAAATAGACTTTGCTATGTGTAGTTTCACATAAACCATAAAATGCTGCAAGACCAAAACATTAATCTAAGCATTTGAGTCAATTTCTTGTATAATCTCGTCCAACTCATTTAGAAATGTCTAAACTATCATCTGTATACAACTGCATTTGCTGGTCAATGATTAAAATTGGCTTCAAGCAAATGAAACCCCTATGACTTAGAATCAAGCAAATGAAACCCCTATGACTTAGAATCAAGCAAATGAAACCCCTATGACTTAGAATCAAGCAAATGAAACCCCTATGACTTAGAATCAAGCAAATGAAACCCCTATGACTACGCAATCACAAAGCTTTACTAAATGGGTGAATACCACATCTCTTGAAAACTTCCACACAAACAACTGTAGTGAAAGAGATACTCACCTACCACGAAAAAGAGTTTGTGTTTTGTATGTGATCTGCCAAAGATTACCAAAAGTAATTAGCAAAAATCTGCTACTTTAAGTATCAGAACTTATGCTAATGTTCTTTCCTCCTCTAAATAGTGTGGCCAATCAGAAAAATCTCTCGGTGAATAAAAGCCGTTTTTTTCGCTTACGAAGACGATTTTTCTGAGCTTGGTGGCCGAACATGTGTTTTTGCTGGTAAGAAGTGAAGGTAGGATTTGTTGTTTCTACTGTTGCCTGTTGGGCTGTTACAACGGACTATCGTTTGAACTGTGATTTGGCTACAAGTGTTGCAGACGTGAGACAGAAGAAACCTATTGCAGGCGTTTATTGCTACTACAAGTTTATAGTTTTTTTTCCCTTTTCTTTACTACAACAACAACTAAAATGGATAGCACATGGAACTGAAAGGGAAAATTATGATAGAATCAAAATGTTTACTTTCTACCTTAAACAAAACGTTGGAAAGAAAAAAATTCTGTGGAATTTAATAATTACAAATGGCTTCAAGCAAATGAATCTCTTAAGGCCTTAAAGGAGATGATCCTTTGTCAGATCCTACTTGACTTTCCACAATACCTTAAACAAAAATTTGGGAAAGAACCCCCCCCTCAATATTTGAAGGAGGGATAACAGTGGACTTGATAAGTTTATTTTCCTGAAAAATTGTTTTAAAAAGATTTTATAAGTTTCAACTGACAGTAATGCTAACTGTTTGATCAATGAATGCCTAATGTTTGCTGCATGGAAACAGCTAATTTCACCATTGCAATTCTGCAAGACATGCTAAATAAGAAAGAGGTGACTAATATTTCTTGGGTGTATGCTTCACAGCAACTCACAGACTGCTTGAGCAAGAGAAGAGTATTGACAGAGTGGCTAGAGAGAAATGCAAAATGGTTCAGCTATAAAGACCCCAGGTGGCTATAAAATAGGTAGTGATATTGAATTAAAAACTGATCAGAGATGAGATACTTAACAGTTCACAAGCACAAACCTGGGTCTCATAACCCATTAATGTCATAGGGACACCACATGTATTGCAGACCATTGTCCTCATCTTTGTCACCATATTTATTACAACATTTCAGCCGTTGTACACTCTGGCTATCTTCAGGTGGTTGGAATGTTGAACTGAACCCTTTATTTCACTCACTGAGGTAGACTGTTCTAGTTCCACATGGCACAGTGAATAAAGGCGTTGGTTAGATCCAGTGACAGGACCCAAAGGGTGTGAGTTCAATACCCGGTTAAGGCAGTGGAAAACTTTCAGAGGGAAATTAACAGGAGATAACTGATAACTGAGATCCATCAAACATGGCACGTGGAACTAGAACAGTACCCCAGTGAGAGAAATAAAGGGTTCAGTTCGACATTCCAACTACCTGAAGAAGGCAGGAGCATACAATGGACAAAACGTTGTAACAAATATGGCGACAAAGATGAGGACAATTGTCCAAATATTGTAAATAGTGTACAAACCTGAGTCTCATAACCTATTAGTGTCATAGGGGCACCACACATACTCCAGATATTGAAGAAGTGATGAGCACAATCAGGGTCCCATAACCCATTAGTGTCATAAGGGAACCACATCTATTGCAGCTCTAGAAGAAGAGGTGGGCACAATCCTGGGTTTCGTAACCTATTAGTCTCATAGTGGCACCGCATATTGCAGCTGCAGAAGTGTCTTGGGCCACCTAACCTGACAAAGCTCAACCCTCTCTGAGCTGGATTGAATTCAGTTTTCCTTCTCCTAGACTGGTTGCCTGCTAAGGCTATAGTGCCCAGTTTGTCCTGCTATTTAACCCATACTGGGGAGGGGAGAAATGGATTCATACCTTTTCTATGACTATTTGCATGAAATTTGTAGCAAAAGAGGTATGGCTGTTTGAAGAACAAGTTGGACCTTGTCTTCTTTTCAATCCCAGTTAGTGAGACTCTGCAAAACTCTACACACAAAGCACGCCCACTCGGCTCACCAGCTTCTGCTGCCTCTCTTGTGTTCTCTAACTCGTGCTCATTTTATTGAGTGTCTGAGGCTCAGAAATTTGCATAAGCCACAAATTCATCTCACAAAATCTTTGAGCTATGAGGTCGTTGTTCTTGTAGCTTTTGGATCAGCCATGTCTTCATTCACGGTATTTTGCATGCCAGACATGTTTTGTTCCAAGAGGAAAACTGTTTTTGCTTCTACATAAATGAATGTAACAAACTCAACTGGAATTTGAACCCGGCTCTCTGATTTCTCATTCCTCATTGCTATCCATTGCACCACCCTTGCATCAACCATTTAGCAGTTTTTCTTCTCTCTTTTAGATTGCATATTGTTATCCTGCTAAATTTATTCATCTGTGGCCTCTGCATTGTTTTCGCTTGCTTCTTACCTTACATTGGAAAAGTGATAGGGTAAGTAAACAACTTCTTTAATTCTTAGAATCTTGTATTTTCAGATCAGACTGAATTATGATCAGAATTTATATTCTTCTGATAAGATTTACAAAAATGTAAGATTGTATTGGGTTGGTGCATAATTATCAGGCGTTTTTTAAACAATATTTATTATGTAAAAAGAAACATAACAATTCAACAATAACATTTTTAAATGAGTATGATTATCAACATGCATTTTTATGGCCTGCAAATAAAATAATATTTTTATTAAAAAAAAAAAAGTAAACAAAACAGCAATTTTTATTAACAAATAACTTGCCTACAAAAACGACTGGTAATTATGCACCAACCGAATATTAGGTTTTCTGCATTTGTTGACAAAACCTTTTATTTGTATATATTTATAGCATCATTACTCAGCATTCAAAGTATTTTCTTTGCCTTTCTCTGACCTTATGCCATCTTTCATCCAATTTGTGTATTACAGCGTAAAAGAATGATTTTAGTTTTGATTTGAAGAATTCTGTGAGGAATTTTGTTTTATATCTGTAATTTGTTGAAACTAATACTCAACTGACGAGAAATGTTGCATGGAACTTATGAAGGAACTTTCCAGTCCCTTTTGCTGCCTCATTTTGATCAGTGTTGCCATAGAATAAAATTGCCTTGTCTATATTTCTGTGATGAGATATTGTATTATTATTTACATTATTTGAAGTGTTGTCCTCATCTTTCACATATTCACAATGTTTCAGCTGTTATACACTATGGCCTTCTTCAGGTGATTGGAATTTCAAACTGGACCCTTTATTGCATACACCAGAAGAGATTGTTCCAGTTTCACATGCCATGCCTCTTTTGGATGTCTCAGTTATCTCTCTTTAACTCAATTCTCCAAGTTTTTGTTCACCGTAGTAGTAGCCAGGTATTGAACTCACAACTCTTTGGGTCAAGTGACTGGATCTAACCAATGCTTTTATCCACTGGCCTGTTTTACTGGCTAGAAAGAAATCCCAGCATGCATTTGTGTGCTTTAGCATATAAATTGATGAGGGGAATGTGTTTTGCAGTCATTCCAAAACTGGATTGTACATATGAAATTTTTACACCATGGGATTTACTAGGACCCCTGTGAATATGTACTGTATTATATGTAGATAAAAGTGTTGGAGTGTACAACAGCCAAAATGTTGTGAATATGGCAATAAAAATGAAGACAACAGTTTGAACAATGTAAATAATGTAAATGCCTTGTTTGTCTCTTTTGATGTGTCATTCAGACAAGCCAATTGCTCACTGCAATTTTGCTGTATAGTAGTTGAACCATTCATAATAATAACTTCCTTTTGAATCCTGCCAAATACTGAAATGAACTTTATCTCTGTAAATAGTGTTAAAGGTTCACTAAGGTGTAACCATCATTTTCTTTGTTTTGAATTTTTTTGTAATAAATCCCATTTTTATTACAAGTGACTGGCTTGTCTAAAAATGATATTTCTCTGTGTTAAGTAAAAAACGACTGATGTTTAACTATTGTCTAACATGTGTTTCTGTAATCTCTGATATCATGATAACCATAGATCTATAAGAAAATAATTAAAACTATTTCAATATCAATCTGCTCTTACTGTTTGGACCAATATACAATTAACCAGCAGCTGTAGCAAATTGTCCTTGTTACCAGAGCAGACATTTTGCTTCATTTTACCAATCTAATGGATGTGCAAGTAGTGTAACTCTTATCAGGGTGGAAAATGGAATTGACAAGCCGGGTTCAAATTCTGGCCAAGTCAGTTGCATTCACTATCATACTAATGCTGTTGGAAAAGCATGAATCCATATCTTCTTCCAGCTATGGGTTAAACAGCAAGGTAGACTAGATTCTCTGGCAACCAGTCAAAGAGAAGGAAAACTTTAAATTTCAAGACAACAGAACACCACTCCACTATCTTTTCCAAGGCAAGCCAATGCCAACACACAGATAATGCTAATAATAATAATAATAAAAAATCAAAATTTGTTGAGAAAGCTGTGCTTGCTTATGTCCTGAAGTAACCTGGCATTAATAAAATACCAAAATCAAAGTAACTAAATTGAGAGTAAGTTGCAGTGCAATATAAATCATAAGTTTTAGTAATTGTTTCCCTAATTTTTTTTCCTGCACTAGCAAATATTGTACTTTGTCACAAATTTCTTTTATTACCTTCAAGAATAGATTATTGGAATGAAAAGTGGATTGGGTGTGGCAAGGCATAGTCTGTTGCATTCACTTTTTATTAATGCTCTTCCCCATATGTGTTAAATAGTAAGGAAGACTGGTCTGTCTAGCTTTGGTAGACAACTAGTCCTCAAAAAGGACAACTAAATTCAAAACTATAGAAAGGTAATGAGAAACCAATCCACTGTCTTTCCCAAAAAGACATGATACTTCTCCGATAATAAAGAAAAAGAATCTCAGGGCTGCTGAGAGGTGTGTGTCCTGCATCCCTGACACACAAAAATTTTAAAAGACGCATTAACTTTCCCATTTATGTGTCCCTGGGACTCAACTAAAGTTTCCCATGAAAATCGATACATTGCACATATGCTTTCAAATACTTTTTACGACTTCTTCCTCTCTTACTTTCACTTTTTCCTTCTATCATTGAACAGTGAGATGTGTGGGTGGCATGAAATAAACATCAGTGTCACCTTACCAGAAACTTTCTTAGTTCACTTTTCTTTTTCTTTAGTTTGGCGACCATTGCTTTAAATATAGTTTTTGCTATAAATTTATTAATTCAATTGACAAAATTGTTCTGTCAATTTAAAAACCTTGTTCTGTCATAATTCTTATAAAAAATATAGTTTCTTAATTAAACAGTCATTAAGTGTCAACACTGTTTTTGTTTTGAATTTATTAATTTAATTAAAAAAAAAAAAAGTGTTCTGTCAATTTAAGTAAATCGGTATGATTAAAATTGTTTTTGTTTTTGAGATAATGGTAAAAAAAAAACTTAGTCTGTAGCCCTGCAGTTTAACACAAACTTTAGTGGGGACCCATTGAATTTCTCAAGGATGCACCCAAATCACCATCCGTGGGTCCTGGGAAACTCATTACATTAAAAACCTATCAGCATTCCTGGAATCATGGGGAGACCCATAATCACTTATGTCTTAAAGGAGCATAGCATATGGGTTTGACCCATACATGAAGTATCAATTAATGATTTCTTGGCCCCCAAATCTATGGTCAGTTAAGATAGACTTGCATTCAAATGTATACAGGAATTGTGGGTATGTGTGCATAGTAAAGTGGTTATCAGCATGGAAAAATGAAAAGTTCAAATTCTAGCTGAGGCCATTGCATTCACTTTCACAAGAATACCCTTGCAATGGTATAAATTAATTTCTTCTGCCCCAGAGTAGGGGTTAGTAGCAAGGTGAACTGAGCTCCTTAACTACGGTTGGCTGCCAGTCTAAGAGAACTTCAACTCTGAATTCAATATCATTTGGTCATGGGATAGCAACTATACCCTATAAAACCTACTTGTAACAGAAACTATAGCAGCACCTTACAGAGTACGACTATAGCCTTATGCTTTACAGTGGAGTATACAGTATTAACAATACCATATACAATCATTACATACAATATTAAGACTGTCAGAAAGCTTCCAAAAACTTTGAATTATAAAATCTATGCAAGAAGTGCCTTAACATGGTGTAATGGTTAACGAGGCTGGTTATAATGAGTTGTTAGCTTAATTGCCTGCATATGACACATGGCCAAGTGGTTATAACATTAGCATTCTGGCCATAAAACCTGGGTTCAAATCTTTTGAATCAATTCATGCTAAGCAAGGTAATAATGCCACTAAGACTGAATAGGCTGCTGGAAGTGACAGAGAAGCAAAAAAACTGTAAGAGAAGGAAACAGAAGTCCAAAACTAAACAGGAAACTTCTACTCCTGTTCAAAAGACTAGGTAGGAGTGTGAACCGGACGATAGGCGAACTTATCTACTCCTGTTGAATCTCAATATAGTCAGTGAGGAGACTTCATGATAATATCAACCTGGGGAGATGGTTCCAGTGAGTGGCACAATTCGAAAGTGCCTGTAAAACATAATACAGGTTCACTAAAGCTTCGTGAGTGAACACAAGTTAACAAAACTGATCAGGAGCCATCAATGGTTTTGCTAACCTGAAGTCACAAGTCATTGTGACCATCCTGGTCTTGTTTAACTTCTAATTTACCCCAAATTATACACACCCTCTGAGAAACTGTAACTAAGGTCTGCTTAGAATAGTTGCAATATAAGCCACATGTTGGCTCGGTGAGGGTTAAAGAAACATTAATGTGCCTGAATAAGTTTCTACAAGAGAGATTAACTTGTTGTCCAAACAGACTGGCATACACTTGGAAATGAGCAACCAACGTTACTTACTTAGGCTATGTGGTAAAACTAAGTTTCAATTGCTTATTGCCTCTCTCCAGTCTTTTGAACAGGAGTAGAGGTTTATTCTTTGTTCCCTGTTTAGTATTGGATTTCTGGTTCTTTATAAAGTCTTTTCATTCTCTTTCACTCTCAGTAATTCCTTGTCTCACTGGCATTATTGCCTTGATGGGGTGAATTGATTACAAAAAATAGTAAATCCCTAAGCATACCTACTATGACTATCAAGCAGACAAACTTACTAGTGTTGTGAGAATTCAGTTCTCATTAATTATTGACCTTGTGCCAGTTTTGATAAGCATAACTTCTATATAAGACTCAATAGTATTTCCTTCCATCTTGTTTTTTTTATGCTTTATTTTTACAGGTATGTTGGTGCTTTCTGCGGTTTTTCTTATGCCTTGGCCCTTCCACTGAGTGTCTACCTCCTGTCAAGTTATGAGAAAGGGACCTTGACAGGACCTATCTTCACCATCCATGTGTTACTCATGATGCTAGGACTGGCCAATTTTATTGCTCAGTTCTTTGTTTAAAGTAATTTTCCAAATTTCTTCATCTTTCTGGCCATCGTCCTCTTTACTATCTCTTCGTCTTTCTGCTGGCAATGATCAGAGTTAGACAACCTCTGACTTTTGTGCTGTACACCAAAAGTAATCATTTGCATCTCAGTAGGACCAAATTCTCACTTTATTATCAAATGTTGCATATTCCTAATCTTTCAGATGGCTCTGTATAATTATCCATGCAAAATAACAGTGCCTCCGTTTTTTGTCAATTGGTGATTGATATAATAATTGACATAACTTCTACATCAGAGGTCAGCAACTTTTCGGGTTTTGCACACTTGATTTCCTATTAACAAATGAACACTGGGAGAACTGCCATAAGAAAGCTTAAAATATTGGAATTATCCATTTAAATACATAAAATTTTATTTTGCATTCAGTCAGTGAATAGTGCATGCAAGAAAATCATTTGTGCTTAAACAAGGATGTCAATTTGGAGTCAAAAAACTCATTTTAATTGCAATTTCTTTCAATCAGTGCAATTTTTTTAAGGTACAAAGAATCTTTAAAAACAAAAAGGATGAAGAGGATATATTGAATAGAAGTAAATTATTTCCGATTAAAAAAAATATATACTTTTAAGACAATCATTTAATGAATCAATGTGCATAGAAGTATTTAGTTTCTAACGGAACAATACTTGGAGCATGTCTAATTCCTTGCTTGAAACATCAGTGGTTGTACAAAAAAACAAAATAAGGAAAAACCTTTTACAGCTCAGATAAGCATAGTATCTTATTATTTGCTTACAGTCTACATTTGTGAAGCCATATGGTGCCTCACTATAGTTTGCAATCTTTCTTTTATTAGTCCAATCAAAATTCTTCCATTTTTCTATAATATAACCCCTAACAAAACTTAGAACTTTTAATGAAACAGTATAGATTAAGTAACGTTTTTATTATCTTTAATCTGAGTTGTCTCCCTTACAAATTCAGGGGAAACAACTCTTGCTTCTTTCTTTCATTCAAGTTAAATACTTCACAAAATATTTCTGATAATGCAAAATGTGCCTTTCCTTCCGCCCATTCAGACATCATCGGGTAAGGCTACTCATTCATGCTTGTCTATTGTATGCTTTACGCTTCATATATACTCGATATATTACACAGTATTGTGGTTATAATCTTTTAAAATTTAATTTACAACTTATTTTTTTTCAAAATTTTTTGGCAAAAATATGATTCAACAAAGAATACTAAAATTGTTAACTATAGGTTAACGAATGTGGTTGTTTTTTTTTTTTAAAAAAAAAAAAAGAAGATTGCTTTCATCTCGGCCAATCCTGGCTTATTTTATTTTTTCATCATCCATCAGATTTTTCAGATTAAAATCATTTAATTACATTACCAACATTCAGACTAATATCCACATCTTTGTTGTTATTATCACAATATTTCAACAATTTTGCCCTTTGGCTTTCTTCAGATGTCTGTCAATCTGGTTAACTTTCAAGGAATTTTAAACTGAACTTTATATATAATTTATGGGGGAGTGATTGTTCTCATTCCACTGTCCATGTCTAAGGATATTAGTATTTTTCAGTTGTTCACCCTAAGTCTGAACCAGTCTTGCCCAGTCCAGGGATTGAACTCACAATGATTCTTCCACAAAGTTCATGAAGATTAAAGTGTTGATACAAATAGACTATTGTCCCATGGATTGACAAACATCTGAAAAGGCCATGGGGTGCAACAACCAAAACATTGTGATAATAACAACAAAGATGAGGACAATAGTTCAACTGTAAATAATGATATGCCTTCATCTCAGAAATTCAAGAAGAAAACCATTTAATGGCTATAGATTAAATGTATGGAAATATTGTGCCAAGACCTATTACATAAATTCTTGAAAATTTTTAATCTTTTTTTTTTTCTTTCGTTTTTTTTGGGGGGGGTGAGAGGGCGGTTCTGATACCATTAGCCCAGTAATAATTTATGAATCACTATTGACGCTTTTCTATTTGAGTGCAGTTTATTATTGGTAACTGAATTTGAAGAAATGCACATCTTCTTCACCCAGATTATTTTTTGAATGTGCATGCCATTAGACATAATACATACTATTTAATAAATAAAAATGTCGCATCTAATTCAAATACGAAGTGTCCACCATAATGACTTTTGAAGTAATGAAAGTGTTGGACTAAAAATAAATCCATTAATTCTTTAGAAAGTCAAAACCACAAAGGCCAAGTAACTCTGTAAAAGTCGGGGATCGATTTGACATCGTATCAATATTGTAAACAGAATCCAATCTTCTAAATCAATAATAAATCAATAAGTGTCTTGGTCTAATGATCTGTAGAATGCTAATCTACAAAAATTATTTCCCTCAAAAATGATCCAGGTTTTTTTCAACTGGACCAGTCTACCAGTAGTTCCAGAGATATACTCGAATGCAATCAGAACATTCTGATCAGCTAATGATCAAATTTATGTGAAACTTTAACAGTTTTGAACTAAGTCTTTTTGTTTGTATATTTGTGTATGTGTGGTATCACATTGATTAGTGGTTTACACTGCCTTAGTTGATTTGGACATTAAGCACTATCTATAATTGCAGAGGTACATCTCTGTTCTTGTGTCCATCTTTTTTTCTGTCTGTTTTCTTTTTTTTCTTTCTTTTTCTGTTTGTTCTTTTGTTTATTTGTTCCTGTTTTTTTTTTTTTTTTTTTTGTCACTACGTGCATTCGTTTTGCAGACTTTGTGTTGGTAGGGTCACAAGTGCAGCTTTTACCAATACTTTGGTTTGGTTTTGCAACCCATATTGGAACATTATAATAAATATTGCATAAAATTCTCTTTTGCAAAAGATATTCAAAGTTCTAATTTGACTAATGAATTTGTGTGTTCGTGTGATATCAACAAATTGTGTCTCTATTTCAGAAACGATTGATATTTGTATTGATTTTCTATATCATAACCAGATATCTCCACCTGCCATTCCTGAAAATATTTTATTAAGATTTGCTGTTACGTCTGTGGAATTTAGTTTCAATGACACAATGTATAAGCAAATCAATGGACTCTCTATGGGTTCAGTCCTGGGACCAACTTTGGCAAATATTTTTTATAGGTTTCCATGAAAATCATCTATTTTCTGAAACTGCCAAACCATTAATGTATCATTGTTATGTTGATGACACATTTTGCCTCTGTGAGAATGTAATGGAGGCTAAAAAATTTTATCCTTACCTAATGGTATGCATCCGGCATAAAGTTATACAATGGAAAGGGAAACCAATTCCACTTTATCTTTTTTTTGATGTTTTGGTAACTAGAACTCCATCTGGTTACATTACATTGATTTACTGCAAACCAACTTTTACCGGATTATATATTTGGTGGGACGCATTCGGTCTCAACAAACGTAAAGAAAATTTAATCAGTACCCTAACACACAGAGCTCTAATGATTTGCTCAACATCTAAATTAGATGAAGAGTTAAAAACAATTACTAAAACTTTAACTAATAATGGGTACCCACTGGATGTAAATAAGTCAGTCATGAGTAAGAAAATCTCTAATTTTTCTAAACTTAAACTGAGTACGGCTACTAAATGACTTATTTATTTGCCTTTGCCTTGGTTGGGGACGATAAGTGGAAAATTTGCCAAACAGATTAGCTCTGCAGTTGAAAATTGTTATTTTTCAGCTAATGTATGTGTTGTCTTTTCTACCATACCTGCATGGATGCCTACTCGAAAGGATGTTCCACCTCCCCATCATATTAACAATGTGATTTACAAGTTCAGATGGAGTTGCGGAGCTGACTACTTAGGTAGAACTACCCTATCGTTAGAGACAAGAGTGCATCAGCATGTACTTAAGAAAATTAGAAATGGTACATTCCAATTGGGTGATGTGGTCAACAACACATATGGTTCTCCCATCACAGAGCATCTTATAAATAGTCCAAATTGTGCCACCAATTTCAACACAAGCTCTTTCACCATTCTGAGTTGTGTTCACTCATTATTACATTTAAAGGCATTTGAAACAATTTATGTTAGGGCTGGATGTTATTACAATCTGATTGTTTCACTTTTAGTACATTACATTTCTTCTATATTTTATATTGTGATATTTATTCTGTTGATTTCAGCTCTGTTGAGTGAGAGCGGAATCAGTCAGCTTTTCTTTTCTTTTTTTTTTCTTTCTTTCTTTCTTTTTTAATCATGAAAGGTAAAATTGGTCTTACCTTTTTTATTTCCATAATAAAGTTCTGTACCCCTAAAAAAAATTATGATATATATTCAAACATTATTATAGTGGACACTTTTATATACATTTGGCCTTAGATATAAAGAAGATTTGTTGTGGCTGACATTGAAACTATAAAATTTTTTTGCACAGAATTTTACACTCGTATTTGATTGATAATTGATTCTGATAAGATTGGGTGTGTGGGTGGTGTGCTGCCATGCTTAAAAGGAAAGAAAATAGTTTCAGATTAAATGAAAATGATCAGTAAATTTTATACATGATAATTATTCCATATAAGTAACACAGAAAGACACACACACACACATATTAGTGAATATACATAATATCTAACATCGATAATGCTACTCAGAGTTTCATGCAGTTAATGCAATCATCAGGTGTGAATTCTGACCGTTATCCATCATGTTCCCATTATGGTGATTCAAAATTGGGTTTACAAACATGTCTATTTAAAATATAGAATTAACTATTAATAATTTATATCATTCAAATTCATAAGTTCGAAAGTCGGAGAATTAAAAATAATAAAAAATAATTTTTTTTTTTTTTTTTAAATTATTTGAATTTGGATTCAAAAGTAAACAATATATCAAGCAGGGTAAAACTCATTTTTTTTTTTTTTTTTTTTTTTTTTTAGCATAACATATCCAAGTTATGTCTATTAACATAAACTATAATGCAGATTATAAATATAATATAAAGGTTTTTATTTTTCATATACACTTGTACATATAT